TCCGAGGAGTGGCTGGTGGGTTTGAACCGCCAGCCTTCTGGTTAGCAGTCAGGTGCCTTAGGCACTATGCTACCAGAGCTCCTATCTTACAGTTTAGAAACTTTAATTCCTAGTTCAAAGTGCCAGGCTCTAGGGGCTGGGTGAAAGCCCCTCAGACTTGGGCTTCAGCTCTGCCCCCAGCTCCCAGCCCACCGGAGCTAGAGGCATTTCTTTACTCAGACAGCTGCTGGCTGCTGAGGCTGCCAAGCTCAAGGTTGACAAGTAAAAAGGCACAGTCCCGATGTTACCAAACCACACGGCAGTCCATTCATTTAAGTCCACTGTAAGTCCCAAGGTCAACAGAGGATGGCAGGCTCCTGAACAATGACACAGCTACATGCAGGGTCCAAGAGTGCCATAAGCTAGAGACCATTTCCAAAGCTGCTGCTTATATAAGCAGACAACATCCCAAAGGCAGCTACTCAGCTGCTTGTGGTAGATCCCACCATGGAGTTGATTGCCAGTCTCTTCATGGGAAATAACTTCCACCAGCTGCCCAGCCACTCAACCAGGTCCAGCCAAGCTGACACACAAACATAACCACCATACCTGGTGTTTGGTGTTAATGGTAATACAGTATTGTGGATATACTGGTATTAGCCTCTGTTGTCTGTATCTTTGGTGCACAATTCGGTATCCTCCCTTTCCCCAATGTCAGTGTGCTGGTCACAGACTTCTTTCCATACCATCTCTCCCCTTACCCAGCTCAGTGTGGGTAAAAATTTTTTATTGTGATTTGGGTGCAATTTTACAAAGCAGATCTGTTTGACACTCAAAAGTTCATACACATTTTGTTTCACAGCACCGATTACAAACTCCACAATTGATTTAAAATTTCTGCATTAAAAACTAATTACATATTTAAATTTTCACACAGCATTGTTTTACTGAGATCATGCACACTGATATGTGTATGACTACATGCATGTTGTACAGATAGAAAATAAACAATATGGACTTGTGGATCTTTTAGTTCAATGGTTTTCAAATAGTCTGAAGGAGATCTTCAGTGAAACTAACTTCTTTATGCTTCCTTTCTAACTGAAATTCATTGTGTTGGTTTTGTACCACCTAGAGATGTTTCCAAAATTTAAGGGATGCCTCTATCACAAAATTTGCCATGTTATATTGACATAGACGTTACCCTCATAAGCTGCTTCAGCACTGGGACAATACCTCATCAGTTGTGGTTCCCCACCACTTGGCACAATGCATTCATTCACTCACTCATTTCAAAGATAATCACTGAACCCCTTCAACTAGGCATAGTTCTAGGAATCTGGGGTCTATCAGTGAACAAAACTGATAAAATATTCTGTCTTCATGGAGCTTAGATTAGCAAGAAGAAATAAGCAATATTCATAATAACTAAATCATATAGTATGTCTGAAGATCAAAAGTTCTTTGAATGAAATGAAAAGTACAGTAGGGTAAAGAAAACTAGGACTACTGGAGGGGGTGGGTTGTATTTTAAATAGGGTGGTCTGCATAGACCTCATTGAGAAGGTATAGCTGAGTAGTTTCTCTAAATAGTGAAAGCTGTCAAAAGAAGTGAGGTTACAGTTATGTTTAAAAATAGGAAGAAAAAACAACATGCTTGTATGTGGGTGGGGAAGATCTAATGGAGAACAAAACTCTGATGATAGAGGAGAGAGTAGGTAAAACTGCTGGAATGATACTTGGCATGTAATAGGTCTTCCACGAATGTCTGAGGAATCAAATGCCAAGGAATTCTCAAAGCCCAATTATGCATATATTACTATTAACTTGAGGAATAAAAGGACGATATATAGCAAGTTAAAAAAAAAAAATTACTGCTGGAAACAATGTGGCTTGTATTAATAATTGTGATTTTCTTCAAAGAAAGACATTTCCTCCATTGTTGGAAATGTTTAAAAACTAGAGACAATATAGATATATTTGGTCATCTGAAAATTAAAAGAAGATCAGAGTTTTTATGGCAGCAAAAACAAAATGACAGAGTGGAAGAAGACATTTTCAACACATGGTTGAATATTTATACTCTAGACAGTGCTTACACATGACAACAAAGGAAGACAAACCTATAGAAAACTGAGCAAAAGATATAAGCAGGAAATTTACAAAAGAAGAAATACGAATAATAAAACATGAAAATATACTCAGTCTCCCCAGTTAAGGCAGCACAGAATAGCAGTTAAGAGCATGGACACCGAACACAGATTGCCAGGGTTCAAACGCTGATTCCACTGGCTGTGTAACCAGTCAAGAAGCTTCACTTCACTGTGATTTAGTTTCCCTGTCCGTAAAAACAAGATAAAAATAGTTCTTATATACCTCA